CGAGATCAGCTTTTTGAGCTCTATCCACTGGTATAGATCTCCTTCCGAAACGCCACTTCGAATAAGTGAACTTCTCTTGTCAGTGAAGCTACAACAACACAATAATACTGAGTTGGAAAAGGTTTGCTGATTACAACAATTCTTGTTGCACACGAAAAGACCATTTGTGTAAAAATTTATAATGATCCAAACACAAAATTCAGAAAACCTGCATTAATTCTGTTACAACCTAATACATGTAGGTAGCGAGCGCCGTTTGGCAAAATTATGTCTCGAAACCTTGGCTTGTCAATGCTATGTGTATCAGTTCCGTAGCCATTATCCCGTTGTGGACCCGCACAGGCACGGCTTCAAAGAAATTATTACTAAATTATTTTGAGAAAAAAACAGTGCTAGTAGGTTAAAAATTCGGATAACTTCATTTTGTCAGTTTGTCACGCACTAACCGGGTTCGTTAGTGCGAGAGCGGATGTCCAGGTGGGGAACGAGAGAGTAATAGAAGAATTTATTAAGAGACTAGATGACAGACAATACAACAACAACTAAAACAACGGCCGGGCAGCCTTATTTATAGCCGCCACGGTACAAAGTACATGGTCAAGATCAACATTCAATATCATTGCCTATGGCCAATAGACACCACGGCATCCATCCTTTGCCCCTCCGTCGGTAAGAGTCGCCCCGACTCTTATAACACTCCTTCCATCAGCGTGGGAGACGTCATTCACGTTCACGGCGCGGTCGACGGCTTTTACAAGTGGAGGATAGCGTGTTCCACGTCCACGACTTGGTCGGCTCCTTATGCAGCATGGGGAATGGCGGTTCACGTCCACGGCTCGGTCGACGGGTTGTACGGATGTGGGATAACACGTTCCACGTCCACAATTCAGTCGGCTCGACAACGGGTCTTCTGTCCTTGCTCTCGGGTTATCGCGGTCCTTCGTCTCTGCTTTAGAGTGGTCAGATTTACGATTGGTGAAAACATTTTGGTGGTGGTACGGCACCTCCGTTCGGGTACTCGCGTCACCCACCTTTTTAAGAGGTTGTCTACGCATCTGTCTGCGCTCGCGATTGCAAATGCATTCTGCAGGGCAACGGCGACAGCCCTGTACCTGGCTAGTGGAGCTTCCATCTGATCGAAGTGACATGATTCTGGTGGTGCGCTTCGATCTTTTTTCAGCTCTGCCTTCGGTACCTCAGTAGGGGATCCTGCACCTTCCTTGCATTTGCCTTCGAAATGGGACACACGTCTTCTAGTCCAGCGCCAGACGTCTCGCCTCATCGTCTCCCAAAAGAAACTCTTTGACAGCTTTCTAAACAAGCTCCTTGCGCCTAAATGCCTCGCATTCAGGGCTCGGCACAGCTGGCACCGGGTCAAGCTGGATATCGTTTTTGGGGCTTAAAGGCAGTGTCCGGGCAAAAACTCGATTTTGAGATTTTGTGTTTACCCGGGCCTATTCACTATGCTGAATCCGAAAATCCACACTGGAAAGTGCGAAAACTGCAAGAAAGGGCTCTAATGCAGGGGGGAGATCGAAAGTGGGCGGGGCCCTCCCCATTGTGCATTTCGCAGTCCCAGCTTCTGGAGCGATCTTTTCAATTCCTCTAGCGCCCTGAGATCTCCACCGGCCAGGTACGAATGCATAACTTGAAATCGGAACCGAGAAGATTGCTCTGGAAGCTTTGAGCGTGAATTCACAGTGGGGAGGACCCCGCCCACCTGCTACCCACTGTGAATTTCGCGGTCCCAGCTTCTGAAGCAATTTTCTCGATTCCGCTAGCGCCCTGAGATCTCCACAGGTCAGGTGCAAATGCATGACTTGAAATCGGGACCGAGAAGATCGCTCAGGAAGCTTGGAGCGTGAATCCGCAGTAGGGAAGACCCCGCCCACTTCTGATTTCCCTCCTGCGTTAGAGTTCTTTTTCGCCGTTTTCGCGCTTTCTAATGTGGATTTTCGGATTCAGCATAGCGAATAGGACCGGGTTAGCACAAAATCTCAAAATCGACTTTTTGCCCGGACACTGCCTTTAAAGCAAAGGGGGTTTCGTTTTTCCGAAGTCCTGGGCGGAGAAGTGCCGCAAGAATGCCGCCGGCATGCCACCGACATGCCACCGGCATGCTATCCATCAACAAACAAAGGCGTTGTTTTCTGCCAAAACGCAATAGTATGATACCAAATTTGGTGTGTGCATGCGCGTTGGTGGACCCGAACTATGGCCCAAAAATTTATGGAAACTTATGTGAATGAAAGCTGTGCCCAACTTTTTTCTGAATTAGCTGGCACCGACACTTTGCTCACATAAGTTTTCATACTTTTTTACATAAAATGTATCTACACTGTAAAAGTTTACATACAGAGAAGAAACAATTTCATAATGTTTTCTTTTCAGCGTTTCATAGCCATCTGAAAAGTTCTCGGCCTGCTCCGCAGCCAAGAAATCGGTTTTTTCTGCTTTTCAAGATGTGATTCGACCACTTAAAAAGCTCAGAAAGCTGTGAAAAGTTGTTCCATGAAATCAGCATGCATGAAAACCTATTACATACTTTTAAATGATCTAAAAATAATGACGGGTCTTCAAAACAGGTCAAAGGAGACTTCGTAGGCAATTTTCAAGATCAAAAGGGACTTCGTTTTGAAATTTCCCTGGTGCCAGCTCGTGCCGAGCCCTGCTCGCATTCCCTTGCGCTTTCTTTACGAGCTTCTTCCTTTGAGAAGGCGGCACAACTTCTCTGAACCCTCTCTTGCCTGCGTACAGCAGACGGCCTTGGTCCAACACAAAGTCGGATACATTGTACATGTGTGACGCCTTCTTGAACTTAATTCGCCCGTCTAACTTGTCCTTTTTAAGACATTCTGTCAGATCACGGTAGACGGGGTCTTTGCGAAGTTCGTCCATCCAGTTCGCAGCATCAGCCTCAGTTGGCTTTGCTTCCTCTTTTCCCTTGTTCGCTGCCCGATCGAGCCTGTCTAGCCCTCGATTTACGGCGGGCATTGCACGCATGTTGTCTGAATGTGAAAAAGGTTGTTGCTCTACCGTGCACGCATTCTTAAGCGTACCTTCCTCCTCTGCTATCCTGAGCTTGGCTCCTGCCAAGCTGTCCTCAATTCGAACGCTGGGAGAACTGCCGTTGCCTTCCGTATTGACAACGCCGCAGGGCTGAGCAATTTTCTCTGATGCCCCTTTTCCACGAACAGACAACATCTCAGTTCTTGGTTGAACATGCACTCCCTGAAATCACAACACCTTCGGACTGTTGCCTTCGTCTTCTCGGAGCATCATGCTGGACGAATCTCTGGACAACTGTCTTGTTCGTGTTGACGAGAGTGTTTCCAATGTTTGTACGGATTCAAGTCTCGGTAGCGCGTTCATTCCAAGCACAATCCTGCCACCTCCTGCTTTAACAAAGAGGGAAATCCTGTGCTTAGCGCCGTTCTCTAGTTGCAAGGAAAGTCTTACCGCTCCCTTGAACTCCATCCGCTTGTTTGTAACATTATGAACAGGATCCAGCTGGTCTATCGGGACCTCTTCTACATCAGCATCCAGGTCAAATCCTTGGCCTCTGCTCGCTATAAGCATCTTCAAAGGTATGATACTGACTTGTGATCCCGTGTCCAGCACAGCTTCTCGAACTAGGCCCAGCAGACGCACTTTTGCGATTACCTGCTCTCCAACTAGCTCGTTTCTCCTCGGCGACGAACTTACCGAGTTGCAGATATAGCTGTTCAAGGATGTCGTAAAGTTCCTTGCGGCTCCTTTGGGTACCCTTGCTGATCTCGAGGCTTTTGGCTTGTTACAGTCACGGCTGTAATGTCCCAGTACATTACAGTTGTAGCAGCGCATTTGCCTCTTCCAAGATGCTGCGGAAGCATCTGGGGGATCAGCCGACTCTACGCCTCCGCCTGAAGTTGAGTTCTCACTGGCGGATGTCTCAGCGTTCGATTGCGGAATGGCTACTTTTCCGCATTTTTGCACCATCATGGCCAACTCCTTGCTGCGGTCACATTGCAGTGCCATTGCTTTCACAATTTCATAGGCCAGCTACTTGGGTGCGCTTTCCAGTGCTGTGAAAAACTGCAGGTACTCAGGCTAGTCCCTCAACTGCAAAACCAATTCTGCAGCTCTTATACATGAGAGCTGCTTGTCTGTGGTGTCTGGGTACTCTAACCGCGTAAGCCTCTCTAACTCAAGACAAACTCTCGTAAACTCCTCGATAGTGTTTCGGCCACTGCCTTAGGATATCCGTCCAATTTAGACAAAAAAAAGGTGTATTAGCATGTCGCTATGCAGTCCAAGTCTGCCATACTTCATTATGAATCTGCAAGCAAAATCATTGAAATTCCTTCCTTGGGGATCTCCGGAGAGCTCAACCTCTGGAAGGGCCATTGCTGCAAAGGTCTCCGCAATATTTGCCTGATCAACCTCATCCTTATCATACTGATTGGTCGACGGGCTTGTATGCGGGACTCTTTTCTGACACTCCAGCATCTTCTGCATGGAGTCCATCGGCTTCTTCGATGAGAATAATCCAAGCTCGATATCTGTAGGAGATAGAGCTTTATTTGAATCCAAGCGCCGCTGCTCCCTCGTAGGAGTAGATCACGGCAGTGTAACTGACACTCTCCTCCGGTCCTCTGAGAAGGCTGGATGTGTCACACAACGAGCTTCTTCTTACCAGGGGATATACACTGACTCTCGTTAGGCAGGATACACGCCCTCACTGAGGCGGTTAGTGGCTGTTTGGTTCGGCCCCCCATGTCACGCACTAACCGGGTTCGTTAGTGCGAGGGCGGATGTCCAGGTGGGGAACGAGAGAGTCATAAAAGAATTTATTAGGAGACTAGATGACAGACAATACAACAACAACTAAAACAACGGCCGGGCAGTCTTATTTATAGCCGCCACGGTACAAAGTACATGGTTAAGATCAACATTCAATATCATTGCCTATGGCCTATAGACACCACGGCATCCATCCTTTACAAGTTCGTATTTTCCAGATTCCGTTGAAGCATCTGAAGTTTGTAGTGCTTGAAGAATTCCATCTTTGCTATAAAGATTCTGATTACATGAGAAATCTTATTGCTCTCAAAAATCTGCTCACAAAGAATGAAGTCCTGGTACGTTTTTGCATGTCCCATCTAAATGTCCAAGTTTGTATTTTAGCCAACTTTCATGTATATTTCCACTTTGGTGTCAACACAACAGATGTTTGACAAAAGTTTCATGAAGGAAATGTCTTGCTGCAAGGTTGCAAAGATTGTTGCTCCGCCGGGGATTGACGATGTCAGAGTGGCAGTGTTACCGGTTGGTGTTAGTTGTAGAAACCTCTGTTGATGTTAGATCTCTTTCTGCTCCTTCAAACATTCATTTGTTTTCTTTATTCGACATTTGCATGCAGTCGCTGTAAAATGATTGTCGACGTACCTTATCAGATTACGCGGGAATTTTTTATTATCTGAACTTCTATGAAAACAACTGATATTGATATTCCACCACTTGTTCTCACTGCTATTTTTGATCGTCTATCTTTTGCAGTGCAGATCAGCATGGTGTCATTTTGACTGGACATTGAAGTTGTTAGCAGGTAATTTCATATACAGTCTATAACTGAATATTACTTCAGATCCTTATATGGTAGCATAGCGTACCGCTTGAGCATTTAAATCTACCGCATCAGTCTGAGATCGCTGCGCAATGCACACGCCCTGCGAATGTGTAGTTACTATAAAGAATCGAGAACATGGTTGACGCAGATTGTTTCCTACCGATGTGAGATTGCGTGAAGGGACCGAGGGACCGAGGCAATCTAGGGGTGGTGAGAATACAATGACATATCTAAATATGTTTTAAAACTAACAAGCTGGGCATGGCTCTATATATAGCTTGCCACATAGTGGGTGCACCATCACGATTGATCCATCGGTAAACCTCCACTTTGGAGCATTGCTTTTTGTACTTTCTTGGTATCAAAACGCTACACGTGTATATACCCTCAATATCATCCCATATGTCTTCCCTCAACATGACGTGGATTACGTGGCTTGATGAGGCGCCGCCTCGCCTCGGGCTCGCGCCACGTTGCAAGCGCATCATTTGGCGCGACGTGACGCTCAACACAACGTGGCGCAGGCTTTTCCACGTTCTTCTTGTTGCCACATCACGCCGAGAATGCGCACGCAACGTGGCGCAAGCCCGAGGCGAGGCGGCGCCTCATCAAGCCACGTAATCCACGTCATGTTGAGGGAAGACATATGGGATGATATTGAGGGTACATCGACAGTGCTCCGCCTAACATATCATTCCATACGTGTCATATGTGTCATTGCACAATATATGTACTTGCCGGATTTTTGGTCGCAGAAATGACCAAGAATCAGTATAGATCTCGGTCGATTCTACGGGCAAAAATCAAACAGCAGCATACCACCGGAGATTGTCAACGTCTACATCAAAGTGGGAAGTTTTTATTCAGAAAGTACAGAGAACATGAAGCACCGAAAAGCACTCTGGGGGGGGGGGGGTGGAAATTACATAAATACGGAATTGTGTCATCCATTCTCTGACTAACAATAAGAGACATGAGCGAGCACTTTTTGCATGCGCCTGATTAGCAAGTTTATGAGCGCACTAGTTGACTTACCCGGCTCCGCCCGGCCCTGTCATTATTATATTCGTAATCAGCATGCTCGATTACCCCCCTGTGCCAACTCCTATCCCCGTAGCCCAAATTTTGCAAAAAATCGATAAAGTCGATATCGATCGATGACGAAAAGTAGCCTATGACACCCGCCGGGGCCCGAAGTGTATGTGTGCCAAGTTTGGTCCGGATCGGTTTAGAAATGGAATTTTCTATTCGGAACAAACGTACACACGGACAGACATACAGACAGACAGACGTACAAACAGACATTCAGCTTTATATATAAGATTTTAACGCTTTTTGATAAATGACTATCAAAAATTCTTGAGAGAACATGTTCGAGCTTGATGAGCAACACGAGTCTGGAGTAATCTACCAAAACGCATTAAAGGCACCGTCCACCCAGATTTTCGACTTCCACGTTTTTGTCGTCTCAGGGCCTTCTCATGTCCCTGATTCCAAATATGAAGTCCAGAATGCACGAAAACTCCGACAATCCCCCTTCCGGAGAACCCACAGGCCGGCTTTCCGGAACAGTGATTGGATGGGCGCGCACAAATGGGCGGGCATGGATGGGGGTCCTCGTGCATCTTCGCTATTCCGAAGCGCCATTTCGCGCCGCGACTTGGGCATTGGATTGATGGGGGGTCCTACTATCATATGCCGCCAAAAGCTCAACACCCCCAACTTAGGATGGACGGTGCCTTTAACGGCACTCTTAAACTTGTTTTTCCGATGTTCGCAAAGCGTGCTCGTGTCTCCTAGTCAAAGAATGAATGATATGTTGGCAGAGTGGCATGTAATCACATAGACCACCGACTAGAGATGCTTGGCAATTTCTTCCTTGCTATTACTTATCTCGAGCTTTCCATGCGTCCATGACCTCTGTCATGATTCTGGTAAATTACGATTCCCACAATGTCTTATCGCGTCACGATTGTGCGTGTCATCTTTGCGTCGGGGTCATAATCTTCTTTTGTTAGGTGCAAATTGCGTAAAAACCTTCAAAACCCCTTTGCTAGAAGGCGTGTGCGAGTGCTCCGGCGCAAGTCCTGCAACAGGAAATCTCGATGTATGCAACAGTTGCACAGAAGCGTTTTGGTAGCGCTAGCTTTGGGGCAATCCGTGGGCTCAGCGTTGGACGGACGGGCGCGAAAAGGATTCTCGGACTGCAGGTCCATTTCTCGTATTGAAGGCAACATTAGGGGACCGGACCGAGGCGATTGGTCTACTTTTAGAGTCTCTTTATAAACTGATTGTGAGTAATGATCACAGGTGTATGAGTTGGAGGACGCTGCCCTTCAGTAATGTCGAGTGGTCAACTGCACGACTGTCCGAACATTGTGAAGCGTGCAACGCGCGGCTAGAACGTTGCGAGAGCACGATCAAGGCATCGTTTATACATCGAGCGATTCGGACAATTCGCAGTCGTCAGTTTGAAAATACCTAGACGCATATTTTCTAAGATTAAGAAAACTGTTTTCTTTTGCACAAAGTGCTATAATGTTTGCGAACGATCGTTCAATCCAAATCGCGCTGCGACTGAAATGGCGCGAGGTATGATCGAGGCCTTACAGGCAGTGTCCGGGCAAAAAGTCGATTTTGAGATCTTTATGCTGAATCCGAAAATTCACACTTGAGAGTGTGAAAACGGCGAAAAAGAGTTCTAACGCAGGGGGCAGGTCTCCCCACTGTGAATTCATGCTCCCATCTTTCGGAGCGATCTTCTCGGTTCCTATCTCTCACGCGTTTGTAGGGCCGATGGGGATGCCACGGTTAGTGAAATCAAGAAGGTCGCTCCGGAATTTGGGAGCATGAATCCACAGTGGGGGAGACCCCACCCACCTGGTGATTCCCATCAACCTTAGAGCCCTTTTTCGCCGTTTTTGAGCTCTCCAGTGTGGGTTTGAATTCAGCGTAGCGAATAGCAAAAACTCGATTTTTAAGGAATCCACTTATCGGAGGTTATCCGCAATTCTGAATCCGAAAATCCACTTTAGAAAGCGCGAAAACGCAAGAACATGCGTTTTCCGGAGCCTAACAATTTGAAATGCGACAGTCCCCGCCAAGGCTGAGACGCAGTCGCCCGGGACCCTACGATTTTGACTGTGGCGGCATGCGTACTCTGCCGCATAGCAGGAATCGAGCAGGTCGGAGGACCCCGCCCCAAGGGCGTAAGTTTCCCCACTTCCCGATCGTTTTTCTTGCTTTGGGTCGAACGTTACGACCTCTTACTTGCGCGATGCTGTGTCTGAAGGGGGCCACCTTCGCATGGCACCGTAATCTCAAACCCCCACCTTGTCCGGACACTGCCTTTGAGGGCCGCGCATACATCACGCGATTTTATCGTCGCGATTCTCTCCACAATACAGCTGTCACGAGTGCACTGAGTGCTTATCATCTTGCATTTTAGTTGCGATAGTTAATCGCGACTAGTCTTGTCGTAGAATTATCACAACCGAAGTGCAAGATGATCTGCATGCAATGTACTCGTGGCAGTTGTTCAGTCGGGAGTATCTCCAGGCAATGAAATTCCGTGATGTATACCTGGCCCTTTAGACGTGTCTTAACGATGACTGGGGCAGGCGTTTCACGCGCGTCCAGTGCTGGTTTGGCACTCTTTGCCGTCGCGTTGCGGCATCACGCGAAAAAAATTAGAAATGAAATCGCCTCCTCGCCGTCACTCCTATGCTCATTTCGGAGATCGCTGATGTCTTGAATGAATTTAGCGGGCTTCTTATTAGGGATTGTATCATTTTACATGCATATTTTAGGTGAGGGTGTCTTTCCGAAAAAAACCGTTGTATTGGCAAATGATCCATGGACGGTACACAGCATAGCACTGCGTCTTTCATTAGAAGATGTTCAAGCCACTTATGTCACTCAGTTTGTCTACTCATTCGTAATGAGATACAGGAAATCGTTTTTTTTTTCAGTAGCGATAGTTTGCTGGAGGTTGAGGAAGCAGTTCGATTATGGCGTACAGAAGAATTTCGAGTAATTGTTGCTGATTACAAATCACTAAGTGAAATGGACTATGGATTTGTGGAGATGGTGAGCCTTTTATACTTCTTTTCCGTTCTTTGTGTTAGAGGTTCTCTGCCTTTCTTTTATTATAACTCCTCAAGATCGTTAGCTTATTTCGCGTGATTTCTCTCGCCCCACTAATTGACGCCCATCAAACGCAAATAAATGAGTAGTGTGCATAATTTTTGCAACTTGAGGCAAAAGCATCATGTTTTAGCATTTACAGTGCGCTCACGTTCACATTATATATAGATCGGAGCTTAGTGCCGGCCAACTATTCCTTTGATTCCTGCAATTCCTGTGATACCTGGGGTCCCGCAACAATGTGTATTGCGAAGAAAAAACAATGTATAATGAAACTTGCAAAGCGCTCCGTAGTGCGAAACATTGGGATTTGAGAATCACAGGAATTGCAGGTATGCAGGAATCGCAGAAATCACTTCCTGGAATAGTATGGCCTGTCTCTTAGCGAGTGGATCGCGCGAGGTGTACTTTTGGCCGTGTATGTGCAGACAGATCATTTCCATTGTAGGATTTTTTTTACATTCAGTGTGTCTTATTCGAACTACCAGAAGACGACTTTTCCTTATACTGCCGGCGGCTGACTGAGCTGTCCGCCAAACTGAACCACAGACGTCGCATATATATCATGGTCAACACAGAACTGGACCTGAAAAGAGTTGCTTCTGTTATAAATGTAATTTTTCGTTATCTTTTCAGTGCAGTTTTTCATGCATTTATAAAACTGAGCCGTTGAGTCAAACCAACAATTTGTGCAACAGATTTCGGTTATGAAATGCAATCACAACTGTAGAATTTCAGTTTCTGGACGACTTGGACCAGGCCTATCCCGACTTCCTGCAAGCTATGCAGGAGAAATATGTTGCAAATCTGCGCGGGACCGTTAATCCTTCATAATTTGATTTAACGCTGCCTTTGCAGCTGGGTCCTTGTTCACTTCCCGAAGTTCATATGACATGTATAGCACATATCTGAACGCTATAATCTACTATGCAGAGTTGGTGTGAATGTGATAATTGACTTCGTTTTAACGTCTCTCAGAAGTCATTTCAGGTTACTGTTGATCTCGTATTATAAATCTGGCATCTTAGATTTGTTGTCAAAAAATGGTTGCATCCGCTGGGGGCTATCTTTGGTACCTGCTCCTGACAAGATGTGTTTCTCAGTCAGCACCTTAACGAAATGAGTAAACTATAGGTCTGACGAATATAGGGGTTGTTTGGTATCGCAGCACCACTGACCTTGACTTGGGTAGCTTCATGAACGATAGCGCTCGTAGCGAAACATTGTCTATGGTTCGCATTATTAGCCCCGCCCAGATGGGTTTCCTGCACTACAGCTTTAGCTCTGGTTCGCGCCCGTGTTCACCAGTACGCTAAAAGCAGCTCCTGATATAGTCTGGTATGCTATAGTCTTGTTTCAAGCTGGGGAACGCGTGACTATCTACAGAGCCTTACAGTCTATTTTCTTTTTTCTTTGCCAGTTAATGAGCTAATGATGTGTTTGTTGATAGTGAAATTTGAGTTTCATGATTTGCTCCATGAAATAATTTTGAGTGTAGAATCAATCTGTAGTACCTCAGGCACGATTGTATGAGGTACTACAGACAATCGTTCCTGAGGTATCATCGGCTCCACGATTCGTGTGGAGGAGGGGTTTTGCCAACTCAAAGCGTGGCGGTTTTTGATAGCGAGAGAGTACAAAAAACAATGCTATGACGTGGAGGTTTGCCAAGTTTACCTGTGTTATCAAGTAAAGTCTGCAATACACCTCTACAAGAATCGTGGAGACGACCATATTATAGATTGATTCTACACTCCTAGAGTTTCAGAAAATTCACACGCATTTGCGCGATTACCAGTCGATTTGTATTGGAGGAAATAGTTGAGAGGATACAAAAACATTTTCTTGCCAGAAGAGATTTTGCGAGGTAAAAATAAAGGGGAACGGTCAGGAGTCACGGTCGGCGCGAATTTTTCGCGAAGCGATGCCGCGAGCGATGTCAGCAAAACACAAGCTAGCACTCCTGGCGCAGTCTTAATTATGATACGTAGCCATGTATCTGCCGCCACCCCCCACCCCCCCTAGACTGGCGCCGTGTCACTTTAGCACCGAGCAGTTCTGTGGGGTACAAAATCTAGACGCGACGTTCGCGGCGAAGCGGCGCGGCGCGCGGCGTGACTCCCGACATGGAGCCAAAATAAATAGGATTCAACATTTTGTTGGATTCTAATCCGACGGAAAAGCAGCCGCATGAGAAACGATTTGTTTCTTGCAGCAATCGATTTTTGCTCAATTTTCCGTCGGTCTGCAACTTTTGGAGTTATTTCATACTTGTTTGCTAATGCAGTCGCTGCTGCAACGGCAGTCAATCAATCGATATTTCTCGCCAGCCCAATGTGCTGGGCTGCACGTCAGGAGGTACTCCGCGCGCGGTGGCCGCCTCCGCGCTCGCCGCGTTCAAATCTTGGGGCTCACAAAACTACCTGCTGTTTTTCCCGGCGGCAAAAAAGGAGGTGGGGGTGCGGGAGGGTACATAACTCGATGTCATAAGTAACACTGCGCCAGGAGCGCTGTTGTTGTACTGCTTGACGTACGCTGCGACGTCGCTTCGCGAAAAATTCGCGCCGATCGTACCTCCTGACCGTTCCCCAATGTGCTGCAGTTTCCGCAGCAACTTCAATATGAAATAACCTTCAGCGACAACGTTCCAATAATCAATGTTTTGATAAAAGAGGATCGTGTCGTTCAAACTTCTGCAACAAAGTGATTTTTATCGAGAAATTGACTTTTGAAACAAGGCCGGTAAAGTGTGCGATATAAAAAATCGACTTAGTGATAACTGTTGATTTTGACCAAACTGTTAGGAACAAAACATTGACGTAGATCAAAGAAGAAAACAAAAAAATGGATTCGAAGGCTGATTTTGTTCTGATACATTTGCTCGTTTTATAAAGAAACAATTAAAAGTGTGCCAGAGTAATTCTCCTTCACTCGGAAATGGCCCGTCGACTGTCTTCAAATTTTGGCGATGCTCAAGGTCAGTTAAATCAAAATATCAGTCATCAGATATGTTCAGTATTCAGATAATAACAAACAGGAGGAGGATTTTGAACGTTTTCTTCAGGATCAGAAAGATAATATCACCGTCTCTCCAAACGACAAATACGATCAGCTACCGTAGGTTGCAAATTCTGTGTTTCACAACAATTACTCGAGCGAGGTTTTGTGCCTCCAGCAATTAACATGGCTTTTATTGACTCTACCTAGTAAACTGTAGGTTCTGGAAATGTTCCTTTACATCTGGATGAAACTTTTTTCTGAGCATCGCAAGATGAAAATACGACGAGGGAGAGAAAAGCGAAAAGCCTAGAACTTGATTCCACAATAGGGACGTGCACCACTGCGGACATGCCACCAATGGCGGTCGCAGAATTTCCCTCCAGGGGGAGGGGGGAAAGGCGCCAAAAATCTCTTCCAAATGAAGGTGCGAGGCATCAGCCACGCACTCCGAAAATTTTTCTTGAGGTCTCAAAATTTTTTTGAGGTGATCCTCAAAATCTTTGCGGGCCCATCAATCTTAAAATCTAGAAAAAGGGGCGTGGTGGCAGCCACGTCCCCGAAAAAATTTTTTTTACAAGGCTAGTTTGAATTTTTAAGAAATTTAAAAATTATCTCGTTTACAAGAATAAACATGTCACTTGCACATCTTTATAACCCATGTAAGTAAATTTCAAGAATTCTGCGACCCATTCTCGGGGGGGGGGGGGGCCCTCCCTCCCCCCGAGAAGGGGGGATCAGGAGGTACGATCGGCGCGAATTTTTCGCGAAGCGACGCCGCACGTACTTCAGCCCTTACATTAGCAGCACTTCTGGCGCATTCTTACTTATAGCATCAAGTCATGTATCTGCTCCCACCCTCACCCCTCCCCCCCCCCCTGTTTTTGCCGCCATCTCTATTGGCAAGGAGTCTTGGAGGCCCCAAGATTTCAGCGCGACGTGTGCGGAAGAGCGACCGCCGCGCGCGGCATACCTCCTGACGTGCAGCCCCGAGAAGAACGCCCATAATCGGCCGATCGGCCGCGGAACTGGACGGGAAACTGACAAGGGAGCCGTGTCGAGTCGAAGTGGCCTTTCCAGATGAGACCCATACTGCTTTGAAGAGTATTAAGCGGTGATTCCAAATCTGCCTTCCAAATCTGCCGAGCGCCTCTGAACGCCGAGTTATGACCGTTCTTCGGAACGAAAAATGAATGCAGAATCTAGGTAAAATTGATTGTTACAATCTTTCCAGCGCTCAGATAAAGCAATGTCAAGTATTAGCATATCAAATAAAATGTATTCATTGCATAAACAGCTCTGATACTTGATACTGGACCATTTGAGCAAATTTGGGCGATTTTGCTTCAGTTTTGCATTCAATTTTTTAACTGAAAAGCGAGCATAACTTGGCGTCCAGAGGCGCTTGGCAGATTTGGAAAACAGAGAAATCACCGATTAATGCTCTTCAAAGCAGTATGTATCTCATCGGAAAGGCCAGTTCGACTCGACACGGTTCCCTTGTGAGTTGCGCTCTAGTACAAATCAATTGGAGCACGCTATTTTCTCGATTCGCGCCTAGCAAGCAAAGTAAATATGATAAGTCCGACAAGGCATCGTCTTGCTTTTACTCCACATAGGGTTTCCAGTACCATCACAGTTATTGACTATAGTCATTAACTTGAGAAGTTTTTTAAACAAGTTTACAGCTTGCCGAGCTCGAGCGAATCATGACCTTTGCATTTTTGAGTTCGTGCTGTTGTTAACGCTGGGAAGTTCTTGTGGAGCTAGCTACTTCTCCACATAACTTTTACGCATAAAAGGACAGTCTAATGGCAAGGCATTAGAGCGCTGAGAGATACCGGCGCGTATATGATCGAAAAAAAAAAACGCTGCAACTCGTAAACTGAGTCTGGTTTATGGCCTTGAACATCCAGTCCTAATTCAGCATCAGTCCCACAGTTGATCCGAAAAATTAAGATAAAACAGATCTTGCGATGCTGTAAAAATAAGATTCTGATGAATGTTTACCTTGCAAAATATTTATATGTTGTGACTCTATAAATGTCCGCCGGGTTTAGAAAAGCTTTGGATCTGTTGCTCAAGACACTACAGATAGAAAACCTAGGTCAAAAAAGTTCGTCTCCTGCGTTGCATGGACCCGGTTACCCTCATACAATAGTCATGACGTTTGCAGTTGATGCTTGCCTACATTCTAAGTTCTGCCTTAGTGACAACTGCGTGCCTTAGCAACATTGAGCACGCCGGTATTACAGGCCAGTGACACCTGTAGTACTGGCGTGCTTAATTTTTTTGCTCTATATCAACATCGGGCCGCGAAATCGCGTGGGGCGAAAAAGAGTGTATTTTCAGTCTTCGGCCGACAAAGGGAACTTATTTCGTAGACTGTGTGCTACAACTGTAATCAGCATGTCAGATAAGCTCCATACACAGAGTTCTGAGTGAATTCGACGTGTTTAAATTTTGTCGAATGAGAAGAGTTTCTGGGCTTTTTTAAAAAGATAGGAACAAGAACTCAATTTCTAATAGTATCCAAAAGTGTCTATGTTATACACGATACACATCATTATTGAAACTACGGTTTTTCCATTTGAGAACGAAGCAAAGGAAGGTAGCGACGTCGCACGCGTCGTTCGCGTTGCCGCACTTCGTTGCAACTGATGTTCGATTCGTTCTCATATCTCCTGAACAAATATCAGCGGTACAGCTCTACAGAGTCATTTGAGAAGGAGAAGCTTAAGCCTGTGACTTGATAACCTTGGACTAAAAGAAAGCCTCCTGTAAACGTCAAAAACGTCCTCCAGAGCCGCGTGCTGCACCATGTGCCAACGGCCGCAGCGGCTGAAGCCCGCAGGCGGAGAGGATAAATAGTTGTGCTTTAAACAAACAACAACAATATATACGTTAAAGCAAAAGACAACAAGTTTGGAATGTTACAAAACGGGTATACGCAATGATAGGAAGAATTAGAACAAATACGAACATACCAAAGAAAACTGTCGCCAGAATTTGATTGAGAAGAATTCTGATGGAACTCAAGATCTTCTTATGCGCAAATCACGCTGTTTTGATAATCGCGGTTGTTTTTTCTTTGAAGAAAAGAGGCTGCGACCGGTGCGGTCAGTGTGGTCAGTGCGGTCAGCTGCAGTCAGCTGCAGTCTGCTGCAGTCTGCTGCAGTCAGTGCGGCAGTCTGAAACAACCCATATGGTGAAAAAACTATCTGAAAACATGATGTAAGCCTCGCAACAGCGACGATTCTATGACGCTACATACAACCCTTCTTTTTGAGGAGGAAATGATCCATACCCGAGCTTATGCAACTTGAAGCGAAGCCATAAGAGGCTTCGACGAACGCAGCAATTTGCTTCTATGATCTCTGAGGAGTGAACAAGACTGTTGAAGCGCTAACAGTCATCAGACAGTGGAAGCTTTTGAACATACAAAATGATCAAAACAAGCCGATGTCGCGCTACATTGTGATCATTCCGAAGTTATTAGCTGGTCATCAACTTCATTGTGCTGTATCGTTGCCTCACAATAATACAGAAAACGAGGAAAGTCACTATGGAGGACTGATATGTCCAGATACTCCAAGTGCCCGAAGGAAACATGCTCCAATCGATTAGCGCTGGGGCGCGAGTCAGTTTTCCCCCCAGTTCCGCGGCCGATTAAGGGCGTTTCTCCGAGAATGGGTCGCAGAATTTTTTGAAATCACCTCCCCCTCGGTCCGCCACTGGCTTACACGTATGGAAGTTGTTCAGGTGAACATCGCGTATCGTCCTTCTACTGCTACTACCCTTGTCTGCGTCTCAGATCTTCCACGTGTGGCTAACATGTTTGCAGCATGCAACAAAATGTTGGCATTGATCCTAATAGCTAAAATGTTCTGCCAACATGTTGTTGCATGAACACGTCTTGCCGACGTTGCAAATATGTTAGCCACACGTGGCAGGTCTGAGACGCAGACAAGGGTAGCAGCAGCTGTGGAAGGGACGGTATGTAGAATGATTACAGGGCTTTTCAACATATGAGTCACAGCCTCCGCTTGCGAGGCTCCTCCAACGCGGCCGCCTCGCTCAGGCCGCGCGCGGCGTTTGCGGCGTATCGTCCGGGCTTTTGCCAAGCTTCAGTCGACGCGCAGCCAGCGCCACGAACGCTGCGCGGACCTAAGCGTGGCGGCCGAGCGGGGCGGCTGTGACACTCAGGTTGTAAAGCCCCGCACATGATGGTGCCTGTGCACATGGTGAACACAATTACAAAACACTCTCTTAAAGGCAGCGTTTGGGAAAAATTTCGGATACTTTTCCTGCTTACGTGGGCTTATCTCCGTTGATTTCGAAAGTGCAACTTAGAGAGCGAAAATGTCGAAAACGAGCTGTTCCAGAAGCTTTGATTCTAAAAGTGGCCGTCTGCTGTTAAAGTTAAGACGCAGAGTCGTTGTCGGACCTCTTGACTATGTGCGATATGCGCAATCTGGCTCATCGAACTAATTTGTCCAGTCTCTGGGTAGGTTCTGAACCCACTTCTGAAGCGTTTTCTCGCTTCAGAGCCGAATTGTACAGTGCCCTTAGATGCGAGCTTTACCAGGGCGGGCAAATTTATACTCTAAGTTTTCATATTTGGCCGGCGCTGTAATAGCAAAAATTGCTTCCAATAAATACGAGGCATTGTATGCGGTCGGAGCTCTCTGAGCTTATATAGTAAATAAACCTTGTAAAATTTTACATCATTCTGTACAAAATAGATGACAAGAAGCGCTGACAACGTCGCCGATTTAAAAGAGCTACTCTATGTTAAAATAAAACCGTATTTTCGTTTGTGTTCTTCTCCCCAAAATTTCAACAGAATCAACCTGATTGTTGAGTTTGGTCCAAGCCTAAATGATTTTGAGCTAGCATCCTTACAAGCATAACTAGCATCCTTACATCCTAGCATCCTCATCGTTCTGCAGATATGGAAGGCAGATTTAATACCAGCGTTCTAAGCTGCGTCGAATGCAGCTTGTTTGGATTGGCCACTTCGACTGCTGACCATTCCCTTGTTAGCTTGTCGCTTTCCCACCTTTCCTACTCCAATTTTTTTGTCTTTAGTTAAAGGTCTTGCCGCCATTTAGAGCTCC